TCTAAGGCAAGTCCGTAAGAGGGTTCTGGGGCCTGGGCTCCGGCCCGGAAAGGGCGCTCCCAGGGCCCGCTCCCCGCCAGCTGGGTTCCGAGCCCCTGCCCGGCCCACCTTGTTGTTGTACTCCTCCACGAAGCTGCCCAGAGCCAAGCGAAAGCGCTTATCGGGCCGCACACTCCAGTTCATCGCGTAGACGGTCCAGGGCGCTTCATACTTGTAGATCTCCTTCCGTTTGCCGTGCAGGGACATGGTGGCGGCGGGGCCGCAGTGCGGGCCGGGTCAACAGCTGGCTGCGGCGTGCGGGGTGCGAGTCGGGCGGGGAGCCGGGCCTGAGACCGATGGGTCCAAAGGGAGGAGGGGAGGAGGCGGTCAGGAACGGCCTACCCCCGGAAGCGGAGCTGCGGCGACAGACAACGACGACGGCCGAGCCCGACCCCTAGTTTCAAACCAGTTTGGACACCGACGACAACCACCTTCCGTTTTGGGACGCTGCCCCGCCCTCTCGGAACGGAAGCCACGGGACCCCCGCAGCGGCACCAGCAATTGGCTACCTCACACGTCCTTTCGAAAGGGTTCTTTCTTCTCATTGGTTGTTGCAGCCGTAGCGTCTGAAATCTCTTCACTACTGGGTTAAATGTTTGTCATTGCGCCCCGCCCAACTCTCGGAGGCTGGGGCTTTGGCAGCCCCAAAGGTCATTGGCTGGCCAAGCTGTCAGTCTGGCAGATAACGGCGCAGTGCTTGCGGTGGGGAGTGAGTGACCAGCGTGCGCAGGGTAGCGGGCCTCCAAGTTCTAGGCCAAGTCTCTGAGAGCGAAACCGTCTGTGACCTGAGCCGACTTCCCCTCTGCTGCCGCTGTTCTGAGCGGCCTCTTCACGCTGTCGAGTAAAAGTACAATTCTGTCTTAGTGAAGACATTCTGAATGTTACGGGACCGAGCCCCGCGGCCTGGCAGCCTGGTCAGTGCCCAGCGGGAACCACCTTCCCGCACCTTCTCGTCCCGAGGCCCCTTTAACCCGAAAGCTGCTCTCTTCGTACCCCAGGGACGGGCTTCGGGCGTGCAGATGCGCCAAGGGCCTGGCCAGCTTGAGTCAGGCCCTCCGGCGCTTTCCTGTAGGATCTAGAAATGTCCCCGAATTCTAGGGTAGGCATCAACCAGCCCAGCTTGGTTATGTTTTTGTTGGTTCCTATCCTGTCCACTTCCCGCCGTGGATCCCAACGCAAATGCTAATCCAGCCCCAAAGGTATCTGTGCTTGTGTGTTTGAGAGGGAGAAGGGCCTGAGACCAAGTAACACCTTTATATAAATGGTTTCCAATTCCTAGCTTTCATCAAAATTGAAGGAGGTTTGTATCGAATTGTGGGACAACAATTTTTTTTTTTTTTTTTTAAAGACAGGTTCTCGCCCTGTCACCCAGGCTGGAGTGCACTGGTGTGATAAGGGCTGTATCCTCCACAGCCTAGGCTCAAACGATTCCCTGACTTTAGCCCCCGGAGTAGCTAGAACCACAGACGTTCGTCCCCACAACTAGCTATTTTTAAATTATTATTTGTAGGGATGAGATCTCTCCATGTTGCCCAGGCTGGTCTCGAACTCCTGGGCTAAAGCGGTCCTCCCACATCAGCATCCCAAAGTGCTGGGATTACAGGCTTGAGCCACCATTCTGGCCACTAAATATAATTTTTAATGGTAACTGTGATTTTAACAGACAATTCAAAGACTTGAGGGACAATGCTATATAAGATAACCCCTTTTAGTCCTATCTTCTTATGTGAATCAATTTTGTCGGCACTTCAAAAAGGAAAGAAATGCTTTTTGTTTTGTTTTGTTTTTCCTGAGATGGAAACTTTTTTTTTTTTTTTTTTTTTTTTGAGATGGAGTCTTGCTCTGTTGGCCAGGCTGGAGTGCAGTGGCCTGATCTCTGCTCACCTCAACCTCCACCTCCTAGGTTGAAGCTATTTTCCTGCCTCACCCTCCTGAGTAACTGGGATTATAGGGGTATAGCACTCCCAGCTAATTTTTAGTAGAAATGGGGTTTCACCATGTTGGCCATGCTGGTGTCAAACTCCTGACCTAAAATGATGATGGCCTCAGCCTCCCAAAGTGTTGGGATTACAGGTGTGATCCACCGCACTCGGCCAATAAATCCCTTTTATTTATTTATTTATTTATTGTTTTGAGATGGAGTCTCACTGTGTCACCCAGGCTGGAGTGCAGTGGCATGATCTCGGCTCACTGCAAACTCCACTTTTGGGGTTCAAGTGATTCTCCGGCCTCAGCCTCCTGAATAGCTAGGATTACAGGTGCCCACCACCACGCCCAGATAAAGGAAATCCCCTTTAAAGAGGAAAGTTTATTTATTTATTTTTTTGAGACAGTTTGTTCTTGTTGCCCAGGCTGAACTACAGTGGCGCGATCTCGGCTCACTGCAACCTCTGCCTCCTGGGCTCAAGTGATTCTCCTGCCTTAGCCTCCCAAGTAGCTGGGATTACAAGTATGCACCACCATGTCCAGCTAATTTTGTATTTTTAGTAGAGATGGGATTTCTCCATGTTGGTCTGGCTGGTCAAGAACGCCTAACCTCAGGTGTGATCCGCCTGCCTTGGCCTCCCAAAGTGTTGGGATTACAGGCGTGAGCCACCGCACCCAGCTGAAAGTTTAATTTTTAAAAAGGAAAGAAAAGTACAAAACTTACAGTACCTTGTCTTATTCTAATAAAAATAATGATATTCATTCACAGATATAGGAACTAATAGGGGAGGAAATTTTCTCTTTTATGAGACACAGTTCCAAAAAAATTTGAGTTTTTATTAGAAAATTGAATATATATGTTGTTTTGAACAACTGTACTACTAATAGGTGTAACCCTTAAAGCCTTATAAAGGTTACAAAAAATGAATTTGTACACATTTGTTTTGAGTCAGGATCTTGCTTTGTTGCCCAGGAGGTAGTGCAGTGGTGCGAGCACTGCTTATTGCAGCCTTGACCTCCTGGGCTCAAGCGATCCTCCTGCCTCCTTTTATTTTTTGTAGAGACAGGGTTTCACCATGTTGGCCAGGCTGGGGTCAACTGGTCCTCCCACTTTGGCCTCCCAAAGCGCTGGGATTATAGGAATCAGCCGCCCTGTGTCTGACCTACTTATTTATTTATTTTTTTTGAGACAGAGTCTCGCAGTGTTTCCTGGGCTGGAGTGCAGTGGCACCATCTCAGCTCACTACAACCCCCGTCTCCCGGGTTCAAGTGATTCTCCTGCCTCAACCTCCCAAGTAGCTGCGATTACAAGGCACCTGCCACCATGCCTAGCTCATTATTTTGTATTTTTAGTAGAGACGGGGTTTCACTATGTTGACCAGGCTGGTCTTCAACTGCTGATCATGTGATCTGCCCGCCTCAGCCTCCCAAAGTGCTGGGATTACAGGCATGAGCCACCTGGCCTTTTTTTTGTTTTTGTTTTTTGTTTTAAGACACTGAGTCTTGCTCTGTCACCCAGGCTGGAGTACAGTTGCATGAACCTGGCTTACTGCAGCCTTGACCTCCTAGGTTCAAGTGACCCTCCCACCCACCTACCCAAGCCTCCCACCAAGCCCTGTAGTACCTGGGACTACAGGTGTACATCACAATGCCTGGTTAATTACAAAAAATTTTTTTTTTTTTTTTTTTTTTTGTAGAGACCAGGTTGCACTATGCTGCCTAGGCTGGTCTTGAGTTCCTGGCCTTAAGCAATCCTCCAGCCTCAGCCTCTCAAAGTGTAGGGATCACAGGCATGAGTGAGCCACTGCACCCAGCTTGTATACATATTTGTGTGGCAAACATATGATAGGCTGATCAATAGTAGGCTTTGAAGCATAGCAATAAATTACACGTAGGATAAAACTATGGGAGGAATAAGTGGGAGTTATCAGGAGAGAAAAAAGAACGATATTAAAGAAAAGCCTCTTGTGTTTTTAAAATGGATGGTGGTGGCTCTCAAATCACTGCTATTTGGATAGAAATGGGTCAATACAAATGAAGGATGGAATCGTTTTATAAAGTGTCAGTATTTACGAGACAGTTGACATTACATCCTTTGCATCTATTTAAATTTATCAGTGAAGTATTTTATAATATTTCAGATGTCAACTTAAAAAGGTGTGAGGGGGATATACATTTTTGAAATTATTTTCCAGAGTACAGGAGCAAAGGACTGAAAACCAATAACCAAGTAGTTTTTGGACAGCAGCCCTTTTCGGCAGTGGTTAATTGTACATGCTCTCAAAGCCAGACTATCTGGGTTGAAATTATGTCCTCCTTTCCTGTTGTGTTAGGTATGGGCATGATTTTTTAAAATTTTTATTTTGAGACAGCGTCTTATTCCGTTGCCCAGGCTGTGAGAGCAGTGATGCAATCACGGTTTACTATAACCTTGAACTCCTGGCCTCAAGCAGTTCTCCTGTATCAGCCTCCTCCCAAAGCCCTGGGATTATAGCATAAGCCACTATGTCTGACTTTTTTTTTTTTTTTAAATTGAGGTATAATTTACACAGAAGCACACTCTTTCACAACCTGAACACACTCCTGTAACCAGCACATAGATCAGGAAACAGAACAGTACCTGCACCTCAGAATACCCCCTCATGCTTGGGTAAGTTATCTTAGTGTCTCTGCTACTGATCCCGCATCTCTAAAATGAAGATAATAATGCCAACCCCTTGGGGTTGTTTTGAGGATTAGATGAACAAGTATCTGCAGAGCTGTCAGCACAGTGCCTGGTCCAGGGCAAGTGCTACTGAAGTGCTGGCTGTTGTCATGATCCATTGGGGCCACTAAGCCAGTGCCTCTGCTTCCCTTCACCATGGCCTAACAGCCCCAGGCTCCAGGAGCTTCTGGGCCCAGCAGAGCCACCTTCAGGTCCCCAATATACTGGATATGGTGGAAGGTAGGTCTCCAGCTCCTTACATGAAGGGTTTGGAGAAAGCCACCGCACAGCCAAAGACCTGAGGGCCTTCAGATAAGTTACACACCCGTCTCAACATGAAATGTGCACTTTATTAGCTGTGTGACACTCCACTGCCCTCAGGAGACCCAATGTCACAGAACCATCAGGAGCAGAGGGCTGGAGGTCTGTCCTAACATGTCTACCACAGATTCCATCTCCAGCCAGGTTGGAGGCTCCATGGTAAGAGTTCTGACCAACCCCGGGCCTTGGTGCTGGGCCATGAGGTGGTGGAGGGTTTTGAGCTGGGAGGTGATCACATGCAGCCCAGAGCAAGGTACTCATGTAGATCAGAAACCTCTTTCTTCACTGCCCTCTCCATCCTGTAAGCTGCCTCCACACCTGAGACTCTCCCACCCTCCACCAGGCTTGCTGCCTAAATGAAGCCACAGAGGAGGCTGGGAAAAGTCCTGAGCCTCTTCACCCATGCCATCCTGGTCACCTGGATCAGCAGTTGTAGCTACTCTAGGAGAAGCCCATCTGGGAGGCTGTCTGCCTCCCCAAGATCCTTAATTATCACTTTGCCCACCTTCAATACCCTTATGGTGTCTTTATTTTGGAGTTCAGTGGCCCCAACTCCCTGCAAATCCAGGATCTGAACCATGTCTCTGGAACTCCAGCTGCTTGGGAACAGAGCCAAGCTGTTCAGGAAGGGAGGAGAAGCAGGGACCACGGATGAGTCCCTGTACTTCCAGGGGATGCAGAGGTGAGGCCAGGGGTGGCCAGAGCCCCTCAGGCTGTTCCTGTCCAGAGGATAGTGCCAGACTTTTGTCTGTTGCCACAGCCAGGTGAGGCATCCCGGGGAAGGAGTTCTTGTGCTGTGGACTACAGTCGTCCAAGTCTCCACAGCTCAGGGTCTGGGAAGAGCAAGAAAGAGGGATGCACCCCAGGCCAGGCTGCAGGTTAATCCACCCTGACTTCAGGGATAGGATCAGGCAAGAATTGTACCTGCCCTTCCCACACTTCAGGGTCCTGCTGCCCTGGCCCCAGCTGCAGGCTCTGTAGTCACATTCTGGGCTTTGCCACCACCTTGCCCAGGCCGCCCTATCATGATGCTGATCATAAAGGAGGTAAGCAAAGCCCTGGTTGCCCTAGGGCCACGAAGGCTCCGGGACTGATGCCACACTTTGACTAAGTCAGGGAAGGCATGCAGCTGCTTCCAGGTAAGCCTCTGGGAATCCCTTCACCTCTTACCTGTGCAGAAGGCAGAAATCCCTGGGGCAGCCTGTGCCCTGGACTCTGAGTCTCTGAGGCGATAGGAAACAAGGCCAGGTCATTGGAGGCAGGGGCTTCCAGAATGTAGCTGACATGGCCCTGGGGCATGGGCTGCTGGAGGAGCTGTAAGATGCGGCTGAGGTCTGAAGACATGCAGGACTCCAGCCTGCCAGAGAGAACCCCACAGTCAGGTTTGGGGCTGGCAAGAGCAGTTTCGGTCCTGAGGGCAGCTGTCAATCTTGTAGCCTGTGTGCTGTTCCTGCTAGATGGAATGGCGGCCTGAGGCTGACCTGAAGCTATTATCCTGTTGGGATCCACAGCCCCTGCCCAGATTCCCCCTGAGTCTAACACCAGTGACCAGGCACCAAGCACACAGCATTCAGTACCCAAGATGCTTTGATGTGGATGTTTGAATTATCCCCATTTCACAAAAGGGCAAACTAGGTTCAGAGCTGTTCAGTAACTTGCCCACACTCTTGCTGGTAGGGCACAGAGCCAGAATTTGAACCTAGACAGTTCTGCTTCTAAGCCCTCACTCTGCCACCACAGCCCTACCATCCACTGGACACACCCCATTTCCCAGGACCTATGGAATTTGTTTCTGCCCATAGTTGTGCGCCTCCCCTGAGAAGCTTCCTTGGCACGTTCCAGAGTTTGCTAGGGGACGTCATCTGGGCAATAGTGCTTAGTGACAGGTATGGGGAGACTTGCAGCTAAATGGCTTGCCATTCTAAAACCCACCTGACACTCCATGATGCCTCTGAGCCACCAGGAGGGGGCACCAATACCCAGCCCCCAGACCTGGCCACAGCACACTCACCTGTTCATCTGGGCCTGGAGCTGCTCTAGCCTGGAGCCCAGCTTCGGAGGCCAGCACTGTGGGTCTCCCTGAGGGCCTGGCGTGCTATGCCTTGGGGGCATTTGCTGCAACAGCTCAGGCCAGAAGGCAGATGCATCTGAGATGCTCAGGGGAGGGGCTGCATCTGCAAGAGGGAAAGGGAAGTCTCAGCTGGGCCTAGCTGGTTCCATAAGCCTGACCCTTCTCGGTAGAGCCCATCTCCCACCCCTTACCTGCCTTGGGGACACAGGGTGTGGGGAGTGGCCCTCCTTACCTGGATGCCCCATGGAGTTCTGGCTCCCAGGACCCAGGAGTCTGTAGCCCTGGGAGGGGAGCTGGGGCCCCAGCTCATGGGGAAACTCTGGCAGGGTGAGGACTTTTAGTGATGCTCTGACTGCCCAGGGATCTGCAGCCCAGTGGACCCCTAATGCCTTAGTGTGGAACCTCGGGGGCTGGCTAGTCTCCGTACACCCCTGGGAGCTACATTTGAACCACAGAGCCCTCACTCTGCCTCTGAGGACATAGGCCATCAGGGCTGGGAGACTGGGGAGGAAGCGGGGCCGAGGCTCTGGCTCTGGGTCTAGAGAGGGAACCCCCCTCTACCCATGTCGGGGGTGGCACTGGGGATGCAGGATGGAGTGGACATGGGAGGGGAAGGAGGCTAGGCAGGGTCTGCGGGCTGGGGCTGGGCAGACACTGGTGGGGACTGGCTTTGTTCACCTGACTGGTTGTCTTTGAGGAAGAAACCTTGGTGGTCTTGGCTGCCCGGAGCCTGTTGCGGGGATGAATGGAGACCCCCAGCTGCCTTGTGGGAAACAAGAGGATGGAGGAACAGGAACCAAAGCTGGGATGGGGCCTCTATTCTTCCCTGCCCTCACCCCACGGCGCTGTCACAACTAGGTGAAAGAGTAACAGGCAGCTGGGCACAGCAGCAATGCCCTGGGTGGCTTCCTGCAGATGGCCCAGGCTGCAGAGACCACACTCCTCCTGCCCTGGTGCCCAGCTGCTGGGCATTCTGGCCGCCTGATGGCTGGGCCCCCAAGGCAGGGTCCTTACCAGGTGTCTCCTGTGCAGATGTTGGTGGGGAAAAACTGGGGAAGGGAAGAGCAGCAGATGGGATGGTGTGGGGAGGGCTGTCCACAGCAAGAAAGCCCACCCAGACCGGGTACAGTGGCTCACACCTGGAATCCAAGCACTTTGGGAGGCTGAGGCGGGCAGATCACGAGGTCAAGAGATCGAGACTATCCTGGCCAACATGGTGAAACCCCCGTCTCTACTAAAAATACAAAAGTTAGCTGTAGTCCCAGCTACTCAGGAGGCTGAGGCAAGAGAATCACTTGAACCTGGGAGGTGGAGATTGCAGTGAGCTGACATTGTACCACTGCACGCCTGCTTTGCGACAGAGTAAGAATCCGTCTAAAAAAAAAAAAAGAAAGCCCACCCAGCTCCATGCTCAGGAAGCTGGGCACAGGGCCCAGGCCAGCAGAGCCCTCTCCTGAGGCAGATGGGTAGGGGCGACAGGGGAGAAACAGCCCGGACTCTGTGTTTCATGGCCAGGTGCACCTTCCCTTCTTCCCCTCTTCTGGTTCCAGATCCCTCCTCCCTGATACCCCGCTCTGGGCATTCCCAGGGTTGATCCTGGTTGTCACACTCCTTGGCAAGCTTGATCTCCACATGCTTCTCCTTTATACCCTTGAGACTTTGGCTATTTTGCTTTGTGGCTCTTTATTTTTTTTTGAGTTGTCAAAATCTCCTCTACTGAGGGATGAGTGTGAGAAGAGAGACAGTTTTGTCACCTCTTGGCAGTACCTGTGCTTGGTACTGTGAGCCATCTGGACAGCCGGCACCATCCTTTTCAGCATGGTATAATATGGTGGAAACACCTGGGCTTTGGAGTCTGACAAATTAAATTCACATTTTGGCTCTGCCGTTTACTAGCTGAATGGTTTTAGCCAGTTTATTTACTGTCTCTGATCCTCAGTTTCCTCATCTGGAAAATGGGGATAATAATACCAATTGCAAGGAGATCATGTAAAAGAAGCCCCACCCTTAGTATAGTCGGTGCTTAATAAATATTAGCTATCCTCATACTTAGCATTATGTCAGCCATGGTAGGCACAGAAGAAATTCTGGCAAAGGTTGCAGAATGGGATTGGTCAGATGGGTGCCCTCAGGCCAGGCAGGCCAAGCCCTCAGTAGGCTGCCTGGGCATTTCCTGTTACCAGCCGGCCGAAAGCCACCACCCACCCTGGCCCACCTGGCCCTGACTCACTTCCCGCAGGTTGAAGGTGACCTCCAGCTTACTCCAGAAGCTGTCCGCAAAGGCCGGGTACATGTCCAGCACCTCCAGCAGGTCTGCCCGCTGGATCTTGTGCAGGTCGCAGTAGGTCAGAGCCCGCACGTCTGCACTGGACTTGCCTGGCCGGGCATGGAGGCTGACAGGCTCCCCAAAGATGTCATTCTTCCCTGCCAGCCAGAGGGGTGGGAGTCTCTTCAGGGTCTGGCTCCATGCTCCCTTATGAGGGTCCGTTGACCATGACCTCCCCCAACCTTGGACATCCTTCTAGGCTGGGGCCTGCTGCCCAGAAGTGAGCTCTGGGGACAGGGCTGGATGTGGGTTGGCAGGGGTGGGGTGAGGGGTTCTCTTCCCATATCTGAGATCTCTGAGCTGCACAGAAATCCATTAAGAGCGACTCTCACCCCCAGCCCGTGGCTCCTCTCACTGTCTCCAGGCTTTTCAGAACCACCCTCCATCAGAATCTGCCTCCTGTAGCCCACACTCTTCGGCACAGTGGGCAGGAAGAGGCCCTAAAGTCTCAATATCTGTCTCAACATCTTCCTGCTGCTTGGCCTGCAGTGCTGTGGAGAAGGGTTCAGGAAACCCAGGGCCAGAGGACCTAACTCCCCAGGGCAGAGCCAGAGGCTTCTCTTTGTCTTCCCACTCCTGATTATGGGGCCAGGTAACCAACATGGCCCTGGTGGAGGAAACCTGGAGAAGTTACTCCTGTCTGGATCTCAGAGTCTTCGTCTCTAACGTGGGTAAAACCTGATCTGCCTTGCCAGCCCCACTGGGCTGTTCAGGGAAGCAGATGAGGTGATGCTTGAGCCAGTGACTCAAAAAGCAAGAGGCAGCCAGGCACAGTGGCTCACGCCTATAACCCCAGCACTTTGGGGGACAGAGGCAGGCAGATTATTTGAGGTCAGGAGTTTGAGACCAGCCTGGCCAACTGGTCAAATCCCATCTCCACTAAAAAAACCTAACGAAAACAAAAATTAGGCAGGTATGGTGGCCTGTAATCCCAGCTACTCAGAAGGCTGAGGCAGGAGAATCACTTGAGCCCAGGAGGCGGAGATTGCAGGGAGCTGAGATCATGCCACTGCTCTCCAGCCTGGGCGACAGAGTGAGATTCCATTAAAAAAAAAAAAAAAAAAAACACAACAAGAGGCAACTGACTAGGTCCATGCAAGGCAAGGGGGAAGGATATCCCAGGGTTGATATGGGTGATATTCAGGTATGTGGCAAGGTTATTGGGCCCTCCTGGTGCCGGGTGCTGTGCTGGCCAAGGAATATAAATATAAGTATAAATATAAGCTGTTATGCCACCCACAAAGAGCCCCTCAAATCCCTGCAAGATAGGTACATAAGCAGCCAACAAGTTTACAGCATGATCTTTGGAGCCCTAGAAATAGGGAGAATCAAAAGCTATGGGGCCATGGAGGAGGGAGGGGCTCTTCCTGGTAGGGATGGCTGGGGCAGAAAGGAGGGGCCTTGCAGAGGAAGTGAAATGGGGGCTATATTGAGAGAAACAAAGACTGTCCCCACGAGAAAGGCAATCAGGGCAGAAGAAACAGCATGTGGTCAGCACTGCACTGTCAGGACTCAGGGGTGGAGAGCCCAGGGCTGGGTTGCCACAGAGCATGACTGCTTTGATTCCTACTCCCCCAGGAAAGTCCAGCATCCTTAGCCTGGTGACACTGTGCAAGCAGCACTAACAGTTTAGCACAGAGGGATGGATGGAGGCCTGGTCATGTCCCTGCAAGAGAACAGGATCAAAGGGCGTTCACAGAGGAGGGGGCTGACCCTGGAGAGGGAAGGGGCTTGCCAGGGTCACACGTGAAACCCTTAAGCTTGAAATCTGGGCAACATTATAACTTGGTGGTTTTCCAGTAGATGAAGGATTCTGATCTAATGTCTATTTCCACTCAGGACAAAATGAGAGGTTTCATGTCTTTAACTGAAACTTAAATTGGACTGACTTCTTAATTATTTGTAATAATTATCATCCCTCCCACATGGACAGCACTTCTAAGGTAGGCTGGGAGTGAGAGGTCTCAGCAGAAACCTATAACTGAGCCCAGCCTTGGAGGACAACTGGGATCTGCCAGATGGCACAGGGTAGGGTGCTCCAGGCAGAGTGGAAGCATGTGCGAGGGCACAGATTTAGAGAATGCTAAGTAGTTTGGCTGGAAAGTAAAGTAACAGGGGGAGGGTGGCAGGACAGGGTGGTGGGATTGGGAGAACTGAGCACGCATGCATGGACCATGGGGAACCGTGGAGGGATCTTGAGCAGAAGAGGCAAACAGACAGAGGTCTATTTCAGGTCACTGGCAGAAGGTGGAAGATGAGCATGGGAGTAGACCAGATGCAGGGCCATGGGAAAGGAGTTGCCAACACCTTTCCAGGAAGGACACAAGGAAGGCTGGATCCAGGCAGGGACAGGGAGACAGGTGTGAGATGGAGAGGTATGGACGATTTTGGCTGGTGGGCAGTGGGCAGCAACAAAGTAGGATGACCCCTTGGCTGACTGTGGCATTGGAAATGGGCAGATAGGTCACAGGATGGGGAAGCTGACGGAGCTGGTTTTGAGGAAAGGTGATTATTTCAGATTGGGATACACTGAGTTTGATCTGCTTATAGAATACTAGGGTGGCCATGCCTAGAAAACTGGAATGTTGTGGTCTAAGGAGAGAGTGGGGCCAGGACAGAGCTCTGGGGATCCTTGTGGCAAGGGGAAGACTGAGGCCGTGGGTACAAGGAGCAGGCCCATGGGAGGGTGTCGGGTAGGAGGGGAGAGGAGAGCAGAGCACCAGCAGGCCAGAGGAAGAGGAGGGGCAGGGGAGCCCGAGGGGAGTCTGTCCAGAGGGGCTGGAGGATAGCCAGGTCATGGGGACCAAAGGAGGGCAAGGCTGAAGTTGGGGTGGAGATGAAGTCATGGGGCAGGCAAGGAAGATGAGAATCAAGGAGAGGACCCTGTGATGCTCAGAGAGGTTAAGTGACTTGCCTAAGGTCATACAGCAGGCACATGGTAGAGGCTGCTTGTGACCTGTCTGTCCCCCTGCCCAGTGCTCATATCCTTCCTCCAAAGTGTCTGGCTATCCCTGTGTCTGCACTGAATGAGACTGGGGTCCCCAGCCACGGCATCTCCCTCCACCCAGAGAGACCCTTGGCCTTTCTCCCTGAACTCCCCAAGAGTGGAAGAAGGTAGGAAGGCCTGCCTGGGCTTCTGAGTCACACTGGCAGCCCTGGAATCCCTGCCTGGCCACAGACTAGCATGATCTCCCTCAGCCTCAACTTCCCTCTTAGGAACATGGGACCTCTGGCAGAGGGTTGTTTTAAGGATTCAGGGAGCTGGGTATAAAGCTCTCCCAGGCACAAGCTCTACATGTGGCTGGCCAGTAAAAGTAAAATCCGCATCAGGAAGAGAGTGGCCCAGGCAGGGCATCTCCCATCCTGCCCCCTTCCATCCGATCCCCAACACAGGCCTGGTCCACTCCGCCTGACCTACCTAGGATGGCCACGACCACGTCGTCGCGCAGGATCTCGATGGAGCCTCGGGAGATGAAGTAGAGCGTGGAGAGCACGTCGCCGAGATGCACCAGCGTGTCCCCAGGTGGCGCGTGCGTGGTCTTGAACTTGACGGCTAGGGCGCGCAGGCAGCCCTTGCTGGCACCGCTGAACGCCGGGCAGTGCTGCAGCAGCGCGCGGTGCAAGTGCAGGCAAATGTCGGCCTGCAGGCACTCGGGGAAGCCCTTCAGCACCTGGAAGGCGGGTGGCCCAGTCCAGCGGGGCGCGGCCTGAGTAGGGCTTGAGGAGAGGGTGGGGAGGGCTCTGGGGATGCCCCGTCCCCGCGGGACCTTGGCTCCCCCCTAGGGCATTAGCCGGAGCGGCGGGGCTCACCGCGTTCATGTCAATGCCGTTGGTGTAGGACCAGGCGTGCTGGAAGTACTCCTCCAGTCGCTGGCGCAGCGGGTTGGGGATCTGGTGGAAGCGGATGAACTCCTTGACCCGCAGCATCTGCGTGTGGTAGCGCGCGGTGCCCGAATACAGGCGCTGGATGATCGCGGACACATTCCCGAAGATGCTGGCGTACATCAGGGCTGAGGGCGAGGGGAGAAATGGGCTCCTCCGCAGCCCCACTGGGCCAAGCCACCCATGGCCTACTCCAGGCCTTCCTCTTTCCAGCAGCCCCCTGATGACGGACCCCTCTGTCTAAGGAGAAGTCAGGAGTGAACAGGACAGCGCCAGGGCACAGGGGAGACAAAGGCCCCTGTGCTTCCTGCCCTCCTCCCTCTGCCCTGTGCCTCTTGGCATCTTACTGGGCCCAGCGGTCAAACTCCCGAGAAGAAAGAAGGCAGTCAATGGATTTTTAAAGCTCAGATCTATTTTCTCCTTCAAGTTGTAGAAATAGAATAAAGAGAAAACTCTCTGCCGGGTGTGGTGGTTCAGGCCTCAATCAGCACTTTGAGAGGCTGACGTGGGTGGATCACCTGAGGTCAGGAGTTTGAGATCAACCTGGACAACACGGTGAAACCCCGTCCCTACCAAAAAAATGTAAAAATTAGCCAGGCATGTTGGTGCCTGCCTGTAATCCCAGCTACTTGGGAGGCTGAGGCAGGAGAATCACTTGAACCCAGAAGATGGAGGTTGCAGTGAGCCAATACCGTGCCACTGTGCTCCAGGCTAGGTGACAGAACAAGACTGTCTCAAAAAAAAAACAAAAAACAAAAAACAAAAAAAGAGCAAACTCTCAATTTCTTTTCACCCATTTTCTTCCCTTGCTTTTGTTTTTCTGAGCTTTCACATCTCTAAATACTCTGAACATGACAACTCAATCTACGTGTAAAATTCCGCGCTGCCTTTTATGTTCCTAACCCAAGTGTCTTGGGAGGCAGGCAGCTGGGAGCAGGGACTGAGAGCCGCACAGCCTTGCAGCTGAACACCTGGGCTGGGATCAGGTCACTCGGACATTTCCTAGCTGTGTGCCCTCTGGCTAGTTAGCACCATGTGGTTTCTTGCTTTGTACCCTGGGCTCAAAAGGGAATGAGATGTGGGCTTTTGTAAAGTGTTTAAAAGAGTGCCTGGCAGGGCTTGCTTCATGTGTGCAACCTGTGTGGACACACGAGGCTGCATGCTAAGAGCCCTGTGTTTGGTTTAATAGTCAGCTGTCACTGTCAAAAAAAATCTTAATAATTTTTTTTTTTTGAGATGGAGTTTCTGTTGCCCAAGCTAGAGTGCAGTGGAGCCATCTTGGCTCACTGCAATCTCTGCCTCCCAGGTTCAAGTGATTCTCCTGCCTCAGCCTCCTGAGTAGCTGGGATTACAGGCATGCACCACCACACCCAGCTAATTTTTGTATTTTTCAGTAGAGACAGGGTTTCACCATGTTGGTGAGGCTGTTCTCGAACTCCTGACCTCAAGTGTCCATCTACCTTGACCTCCCAGAGTGCTGGGATTACAGGCTTGAGCCACCACACCTGGCTGATTCTTAATAATTTTTCAACAAGGGTCCCTATGCTTTTATTTTGCTCTGGGCCCTGCAAATTATTTCCTGGTGACTGGCAGATAGTACAGGCTGTGTGAGTGTTAAATTTTGTGTACAATTGGCGCACACACCAGCAAAAATTCATTGTGCTGCACACTTAGGATCAGTGTACTGCATGAATTATTTCTGTGTGTTATATTCTATCTCAGTACAAAACTAACAAATACTATTTCATAGGTAAGGCCAGGGTATGAGGTTAGGCCATGGCATGAAGTCTCACTCACAGCCAATGAGCATGACGCAGATGGAGAAGACCTTCTCGGAGTTGGTGTTGGGCGAGACGTTGCCAAAGCCCACGCTGGTGAGACTGCTGAAGGTGAAGTAGAGGGCTGTGACGTACTTGTCCTGCACCGAGGGGCCTGAGGCTGGGTCGCTGCTGTTGTAGCGCTTGCCAAGCTGTACACCCAGGCTGTCCAGCCAGCCGATCTTGTGTTCCAGGTAGGGCCGCTCCACGTTGCCAATGGCGTACCAAATGCAGGCCAGCCAGTGCGCGATGAGCGCGAAGGTACACATGAGCAAGAAGAGCACAGCTGCCCCATACTCAGAGTAGCGGTCCAGCTTCCGTGCCACGCGCACCAGCCGCAGCAGCCGTGCTGTCTTCAGTAGCCCAATCAGGGTCGTGGTCTGGAGGGGCAGGGAAACGGTCACAGGGCTGGGGTGTCAGCCCTTGGAAGGGTGTACTCAGGCCTGCTTTTGTTCTCTCATGCATACAACCACATAGTCATTCAACAAACATTTATGGAGAACCTGATCCAGGCCATGCACTTGGCAGTGTGGCATGGTATGGGACCTTAAGGATCTCAGCCTAAAGCTCAAAACAGTGTTCTGATTGTTAGGACAGAAGTCCAGTAGGAGCACAGAGGAAGGGGAGGTCAAGTCTGCTGGGGTAGGTCGGGGAGGCTTCATGGAGGAGGTGACACATGAGCCGAGCCTTGAGAGAGGAGGCTAGGGCTCCAGGCAGACAGGAGGGAGAGCAAAAGGGCACTCCTGGCTCAGGGAGCAGCATGAGCAGCAGCACTGAGGTGTGAAGTGTGTGGCCCACAAGGGAAACCAAGTGTGGCACTGCAGCCTGGTGCACATGTGGGAGATGGAGGAGCAGTGAGAACCATGCCTGGGAAGGGCAGGGTGGGCAAGGGCTGCTCCCTGTGGTCCTCAGAGTCTATCACGAGCTTGGTTTTTATTCTGCAGACATTGGGGAGCCACTGAAAGTTCTGAGGACCCTGTACATCCCAGAGGGTGGAACACAGGGTCAGGTAAGTGATCTGAAAGTTGCTGAGGCAGCTGTGTGGAGGGGCGGGAGGCTGGCAAGTTTTGTGCTGGGACACAAGTGAGTACAAACGCCACTCAGTGTCCAGGTGGGGACAATGGGGGCAGATTTGCTGAGGGGTGGTATTAGGGGGGCTTGGAGCAGAGGATCCCTGCTGGACATCCCCTGTTGGACAGGTTGGCATAATGAGGGGGCACTGGAACACAGAAGGCAGAGTTGATTTCAGTGAAAAGCTGATCCTGAGGAGTGGGGCAGGAGGAGACTGTGGGCCTGGAAACTATGAGAAAGGCATGAAGATGCCTTCACGTCACCTATTGGCAGCCTGGGGGGGGTGCCCACCTCCAGCCCATAGTGGAGGGCTAGGGGGTAAGGCGGGAGCAAGGCTGCACTGGAGGAGTGGCCTGGGGATCCCTTTCTTCCTCCAGGAAGAAAGGGACCCTTTTTCAACAAGGTTCCCTATGCTTTTATTTTGCTCTGGGCCCTGCAAATTATGTAAATTTGCTCTGTGCAGTTTGGAATTCAGCATGAGGGGTCAGGACCACATGAGTGCCCATCCTGGAAGGGCTAGCCTGCTTCTCTCACCAGGGTCTGCTCAGAGAGGGGGCAGAGGGGCAGAGGCCTGGGGGGTGCAGTCTCGGCTGGTCCTTCTCCAGGGCTGAGAGGTGACAGATGTTTGGGGCCTCCTCTCCACCAGCACAGGTGCCCAGGCCCAGGTACTCTCCGCACTCAGTGCTGTGCAATAGGGAGGGCTCGAGGCCAGTATGCAGAGGACAGCCATGGCTGCTGGCCTGGAGGGGGTCTGCTCACCTCATCAGAGCCAGTGCGGAAGATAAGGAGGTCAAAAGGGATGGCGGCCACCATGTCGATAAGGAACCAACCCTTGAAGTAGTGGACGGCGATGCGGCGGGGGTGGCTGACCACCTCATCGTTGTTGTTGACGTAGGTGGTGCGGAAGTTGATGACGATGTCCACGACGAACATAATGTCCACGATGAGATCCACCACGGTGAGGGGACTGCAGGTATAGCTGCAGGCCCCACGCTGCGACTCATCCTGGTCGCTGAGCAGGAAGGCGGCTGAGTAGGGCGTGAAGACGGCTGTATAGATGACTAGCAGTAGGATGAGCCAGTCCCACACGGCCTTGAAGGGGCTGTAGTGCAGGATGGTCCAGCGGTGGATGCGCGGCGCCTGCAGCTTGTACTCGGGCAGCACATCCGCGCCCAAGGACAGGACCTGGGGGTGAGGGCCAAGGGTGGTCAGGTTGGGGGTGGCCACTGCTGGTGAGACTGGCCTGGAAGGCTGAGGCCTGGGTAGGGTATAGTGGGAAAGGGTGGGTGACCAGCGCTCTGCCGGGCAGAGGGCATGAGGGAGAGATGGGGTGGGGGATGACTGAGAAGGGAAGTTCTTAAGGGGACAGATGCCTGGGGAGGATGTGCAGAAAAAGGAGGTGGGATGCAAGAGGAGGGGTGTGGTTCTGCCCCATAGTGACCCCAGGTTTGATGCTCATAAACTCCCTTGGAAACATCCTGAAGTGGGTGGAGCCAGGACAGGGGAGGGCCAGGCCCATGTCATCTGTGGGTCCATTCCACACAAGAGCCCACTAAAGGGGGTAGCTGGTGGGCTGATCCTCTCTGGTGGGCTTGGGAGGTCCCCTATGGTCAGGGCTCCTGATAGGAACAGGTCACTCCTAGAAGAGCATCTTCCTTTCTGAGGGCCCTGGGGAGCCTGGACCAGTGAGCACCCTCTCTGGGGCCAACTCAGAACCTCCCATGGAAAGAGTCCATGGGGTAGGGGTATAGGCAACCTGGACCCTCAGCAGGTCCTGGGCACTAAGGAAAACTGACTCCTCCTCACATGTCCAAGGGTTTGGAATCATCACCTTCAGCAGAGCCTTCTCCCTTCCCCCTCCCACCCCTGCCTCCAAGACTGTGACCAACCCTGGATCCCCAGGCCCCAGCACAATATGCCACAGCTCTGCCCAGCTGCCCAACATAAGAGATGGCCAGGGCATTAGGAAGGGCATGGGTACTGAAGCTAGGCCTCCCCAGTTGAATCCCAGATCTGACGTGCTACAGGTGAGCATTGGGCAAGTTTTGTAACCTCTATGAGCCTCAGTTCCCGCATCTGCAAAATGGAATCACAAAGGACAACAAAAGCCACAACAAAAGTAGTGAGGAACATCTATTCTACATCTATTCTCATGTAGATGGTGAAATGCACCTGTTCCCATGTAGATGGTGAGATGCACCTGTTCCCATGTAGATGGTGAGATGTACCTGTTCTCACGTAGGTGATGAGATGCACCTGTTCTCACGTAGATGGTGAGATGCACCTATTCTCACATAGATGGTGAGATGTACCTGTTCTCACGTAGGTGATGAGATGCACCTGTTCTCACGTAGGTGATGAGATGCACCTGTTCTCACGTAGATGGTGAGATGCACCTGTTCTCACGTAGATGGTGAGATGCACCTGTTCCCATGTAGATGGTGAGATGCACCTGTTCTCACGTAGATGGTGAGATGCACCTGTTCCCATGTAGATGGTGAGATTCATCTATTCTCACATAGATGGTGAGGTGCACCTGTTCTCACGTAGATGGTGAGATTCATCTGTTCTCATGTAGTTGGTGAGATGCACGTATTCTCATGTAGATGGTGAGATTCATCTGTTCTCATGTAGTTGGTAAGATGCACCTATTCTCATGTAGGTGGTGAGATTCACCTGATCTCATGTAGATGGTGAGATTCATCTATTCTCACAGAGATGCACACGCTGCTCTACACACTAATTCCCCGTCCACTATCCTCCTCCCTCATCCTCATCAGACACTGCTCCAAACAAGGATGGAGCCAGAGGGGTGTCCCATGGACCCCCCACCTCCCACCAGATGAGATCTGATGGATGGTACTCATTTAGGAAAATTTGCAATGTAAGGTTTGACCATGGAAACAAAGTCAGTTAGCAGATGGGATCACAATAAGGAAGATCCACTTGGTTTCAACCCGCGGGTCCCTATCTGACATCCAAACCCTTGAGTGGGGCAACTGTGTCTCCACCCTGCAGTGACCTGCTCAGCCTTGAGGCCTTGCTGCACACTTCCCCAGGAAGCCCCCTCTGACTCCACATGAACTTGGGCTCTTTTTAAATTTTCTGCCTGCCCTGTATCCACCCAGCTGCATGGTGGTTCTTCCCTGAGCCACAGGCTTGCTGAGTTTGGCTCCCTCACTGACACTCTTCTCCCTGTGTGCCTAGCTCTTGGTCCACATGGGCTCTCAACTACAGACCCCTGAATGAGCGTGGGAAACTGGGGCTCTGATCACACCCTGGGCATCAGAGCCACTCCCCCTCCTCCCAAGGGCCACTAGGACCCTGCTAGGGTGAAACAAGGCCCTTCCCTAGGCCTGCCTGGGTGGGGAGTGGGAAGGAGACAGAAGGAATGGTGGGGGGTGGTTTAAAGTAGGCTGAAAAGAGAGTTCCTCAATTCCTCAGGGTCTCCAGACAGGGGGACCCCCAAAATCTCCCACTGCCTCCAAAGCCAGGTCAGAGGCGCTTCATGGCAAAGCCCACCCTGCCCCGTGTCTCCCAGAGCTGCAAAGCCCTCAGGATACTCAGGCTCCAGTGTAAGGCCACAGCCGTTGAGGCTCTTTAAGTTCTGGTTGAGGCCGATGTGACTTCCCTGATCTGGATCCTCGCCTGCCGCTTCCCCCGAGATCTGTCAGGCACCTCCCTGGGCCTAGGACCCACATGGAGCAGGGGAGTGATGCCAAGAGGGGCCGAGCTGAGGAACAAACAGGGGCAGGCAGGTTGGGCAGGCGCTGGGACTATGGGTCCCAGCCAGGCCTGGCCATCTTCACCGACCACTCTCCAGTCTAAAAGCCCCCACCATGGTAGCCACCAGATGCCCTGGGGTAAGCAGCTGGGGGGCTTCCCAGGGTCAGGCTTTTGGGCCACTCTGTCTGACCTCAGAGGACACAGTCCTGTAGCCTGGCGTCCTGTCCTCCTCAGGATCCTTGAGCTCAGTGAGGTGCTGAGCGGTCTTCCCCACACCTGGTTCCAGCAGCAATTGTGTTTCAGGTGAAAAGAGGCAGGCGGGAAAAGAGCCGTCCCCAGCCCCAACACAAAGACAGCCCCAGGGAATCTGGGAGCAGGCCATGCCATGCTCTGCATTGCTCAACCTTGGCCTGGGCCCCTGGCTATGACTTACAGCTTTGTCTGCCTCCTGGGTCCAGCACTACTCAATGTCAAATGGGTCCCCAGAGACCATTTAGTCCTTATCTTGGACCACATAGTCCTTACCTCTCCTGCAGATGAAAGCCCTGAGGCCTGGAAAGGGGGCTGGAAGTTCCCCCGGCCAAGGTCACATAGGAAGTCAGTGCCAGGACTCTGGTCACTGGAGCCTTGGGCAGGGCTCCTTGCATTTCTCTCTGGAATGGTCAGGCCTTCGAGCCTCATGAGAAGGGACAGCAGGATGAGCTGGAGCAGAGGACCCAGGGAAGTCTGCCTTGGGCTGGCCAAGGAGGAGGTTGCAGGGGTCCTTCAGGGCCTGGCCCCCAGGAAGCTGATCAAAGATAACTGGAGGTGCCAGCCCTGCCCTGCCCTGCCCTGCCTGGCATGCAGAAGGATCCTGTGTTCATGTTGGAAGGAAGTAGAGAGGGTGGCTTTTGTCTCAAAGGTAAGGGGCTGACACAGGGCTGGGACCTCCCCATGGCTCTCCTCCCATTTTGGCCCTGGCATGTGTCCGCTCTGCCTCTCCTTCCCTGGGACTGGCTGAGCTCTGGGGAGGCCCCCATGGTGGCCTGCATGTCCACCACATGCCCTGGCTTCTCCAGGCCTAGGAAGCAGCATCACTCATAGGCCCTGCTGACCCCAGCCTCCTCTGGCTCCAGGAGCTGGGCACTGGGGCTGTGACCTCAGGGCAGGCCTTTAGGTCTTTAGATCTCAAACAGGACAGGAGGCCTGCCTGGGGCTGGAACCAGATATTAAAGGCTAGACGGGAAGAATTTCTTTGCCAGCCAAGGCCCCAGAGGGCCTGGGCCCAGAGCCTGGGAGGGAACCCTGGAGACCTGGCACAGCCCCGCACACCGTGCCTTGCAGGCCCGCACCTGGGTGACCTTCTCAGTGACATTCTGTGTCCGCTCCACCACCTTGTGGGGCGCAATGATCTCAATCTCTGTGGTGGAGCTGGAGCGGTGCTTCTCCAGGTTGAACTCCACGAAGTTGAGCGTGAACTGCGGGATCTGGCTGATGGTCCTGTACTTGCCCCTGCCTCTGCCTGGTCCTGGTCCGCCCGGCCTGCCGTGAGAGCCCTCTGAAACCAGGAACAGAAATCAGAGCAGCTACAGTCAGGGAGTCCTTCCCACCACCACCCACACCCCACCTCACCGGAGCCCAGGAAGCTCTGGGACAACAGGCGCTGGGACAATCTGCGGCTGCTGTGCTTGGCCAGGAGCTCGGCCAGGTCCTCGAAGTTGAGGATGAACATGATGACAGCCCCTTCCTCATTCTTCACGGGCACCACGTCCACCAGGCAGCGGAAGCTGGAGGCTGCAAATGCCATTGGTAGTATGGAGGGTGGGTGGGCCCTGAAGGGGTCCCCTCCTGCAGTGACCTGGCTAGAGAAGGGGCTGAGTGAAGGTCAAGTGAAGGTCAGCCACTGGGGTTAAGAGGCCTGGACAGTAACCAGAGCTACTGGGCAGAGGGTGGGTGAGGCTGTGCAGCTGGTGCTCCACCCACAGGGCAGAGGTGGGGAAAACGGCTAAGCTGCTCATTAGGAGATAAGGTAGCATCAGATCAGGCCCAAGTCCACACTCAGCCATCAGCTCAGAGCTTAACCTCGGGGTCTGCTTCTGCTGTAATTAAAGCTGAGCAGATGGGGGTGGATTAAGTGGGGAGGTGAAGCTGGGCATTCTACCCCATGGAGCTGGGTTGGCTGTGGCCTCTCTTCCCATATTCCCATCCCACAAAGATGCCCTGCTCCTGCCATGTGGGGAGGAACTTGTTGAAAGCATACTAAGTGCTGGGCACAGGGCCAGTTGAAACATTAGGCCTCAGGAGGTCCTTGGGGGGCAGGCATGGATCCCCATTCTGCAGAAGAGAGCCTGGAGCTCTCAGAAACTGACTTGCAAGGGCTAGGAGGGGGCACGGAGAGAGGATCTCTGGGTTTGCAGGACACGATAGCTTGGAAAAGGGAAGGGACTTGTCTGGGAGGAAGGTGCTGGGGCCAGAATCAGGCTGCTGCTCTGGGCCTAGGAGGAATGTGGGATCCCAAGGCAGGGCTCGGCCCAAGGAGTAGGCAGGGCAGTGGCCTGGGTGCCAGAGAGGGAGGGGGATGGCCATGTGGGGCAGGACAGGCTCCTCCCACCACCCTCCCCACCATCCTGGGCAGCCCACACCCAGCTGCTGGCTGCCCTGTGCCTCTCAGGCTACAGTCTCTGTCCCTGTCTCTGCTCCAGGGTCTCACCACAGCCCCCATTGGTGGGTGGAACAATACCAGCTAAAATGATGCCCCGTATCTGGCCTGGCACAGTGGCCCACGCCTGTAATCCCAGCACACTGGGAGACTGAGGCAGATGGATCACTTGAGGCCAGGAATTCAAGACCAGCCTGGCCAACATGGTAAAACCCCATCTCTACTAAAAACACAAACATTAGCCAGGCGTAGTGGTGTGCATCTATAGTTCCAGCTACTCGGGAGGCTGAGGCAGGAGAATCACTTCAACCCAGGAGGCTGAGGTTGCAGTGAGCCAAGATCATGCCACTGAACTCCAGCCTGGGTAACAGGGAAGTCATCTGTCTCAAAAAAATAATAAGAAATGAACAAAATACCCCATACCCAAGAGCCCCAGGCCAGGCACCCCATGAACACCATCTCTATGGGAGTCCTATGACCCTCAAAGTGCTGGCGGGTGTCAGGCCCAAAGGGTCAGGGGCCTCAGGGGCAGGGGCCTCAGGTGACCATGCAAATGAGAAGGTGGAGCTGCACTCCCTGAGGGCAGGTTAGGTTCTGTTTCACCTGTCCCAGGTGTTGTTTGTTGACTGAGTGAATGGAAGTCTGTGTGTGTGAGTATGGGGGATGCCGGCTGGCCACTGGTGGGAGTATCACTGGATCGACTCACCACCAGACTCCTTGTTTTTTTGTCCTCAGTCCCTCCTCACAGCCATCAGAGCTGGGCTGCAGCTGAGCCACCCTTATCCTCCCTCTTGCTTTCCTCTCCAGGGAGTAGGAATCTCCCATATCAGATTCCTGGACTCCCAGGCACCAGGCAGCCATCTGCCATCTGCTGCCTGGGCCCAGGGGAGACATCCACACTGGGGAGAGGTGCCTGCCTGTTTCACCCACTCCTGGGCACACAGGGCTATAGGCCCAGACTCCCAGGCCCAATCCCATCACTCTAGTCAGCCTGGGGCATGGCAATGCTTGGATGCTGGGACCTAGACAGGGAGCCTCCTTGGCCAGTGGCCTGGGACACTGCTCCTAAGGCCAGATTATATTGTCAATCTCTCTGGCATTGCAGAGATCTGGCCTGGTAGGGGGCAGGGAGAGGGCAGAGCTGGGCAGAGAGGCAGGGGGCCTCCAGGCTCTCTAAGCTGCTGGGGGCTGCCAACACATAGTCTTGGAGTGGCTGCACCCAGCAATTGATGTTACTGGAAAATTGATGCAGTTGGAAAACTGCAGCTGGGAATGGACCAAAGAACAGCCCATTATAGCAGTGAGAGCTGGGGCTGGGGTCGGGGGTCAGTGTGTGGTACCCCATGCCCCGCCCCCATGCCTGTGGCCTGTGGAGTAGGCAGACAGGAGGCTAGGAAGATTTAGAAGAGTCCAGAGCATTCTCTCTGCCCCTGCCCCAGGCTGTCCTTGCTTACCCATGGCTCGAGCTCCCAAACAAAAGCCCATATCTAGGTGACCAAAAGTGGGTGAGTGTACCATCTCAGGTTGTGCCCAGGAGTGGCAGGCAGTGTTCCCGTGCCCTCACCAGGACCCTCTTCATCCTTTCAGGAGCTCCCCCAGCACCCACCTCTCCAACCAAGGGCAACAGGTTTGTCTGCCCCTTGAGAACTCCCATTCCTTCTTATCTGCTAGGTTCTTACTTTTCTTAGCAAAAGCATCCCACTTCTCTCCCCTGGGATACCCCACTTCTCTCTGCTCTTCTCTTCCTCTCAAATGTGCTCCTTCCTTCAGTTTCCCAGCACTCACAGCCTCCTTGTTGTCTTCACCCCATCTCCTGATGCATACTCTGTCCAGCACTGTGGTGAGCCCCCAGGGAGGGGCTGGTGCTACAAAAAGCTGCGGCTGAGAGGGTGGCCACTGCATGCCGCCTCCTGACTTGGTCCTCCTGTCATTCATGGCTGCCCATATGGAAAACATGGGGGGAGGGGGAGGGCAGACAGCAGCCCCTGTCCTGTCTTCCTCATCCAGAGCTGAGGACTGGAGAAGTCCCAGGCCTCCTCTAATCTGGCTTGGGAATTAGGGGACTCCCTGGTTCAGGATCCTCAGAAGAGAGGACCTGGGAAAGGCAGGCTGGGGTGGGCTCTCAGGCAGGTGCCAGTGCGGGGCAGGTGTGGGTGACAGTGGGCGGATCTGAGTGCTCTCCTTTCTTCCCTCCGAACTTTCACTGGTTCTAGTCCTGCCACATGGCCATTTCTTCTTATCTGTTAGGTTCTCACCACTTCTAGCAAAGGCAAATAGAGGAAGAGCCAGTTTCCCAGGGGTCTCTGAACTGTCTCCTGCGGTATTTTTGCCAAGTGCTCTGGCCTCTTTGAGCCCAACTGTCTGCAGCTGCACAATGTGGAGCTATGTGAACCCAAACCCTCCACATTGACTTCGAGAATTTTCAGTGGATTACCCCTTTAGAGGAAAAGAGGATTATACATAAATCAGCTAGAGATCCGCTCAGGACCCCTTCCCACCGCTCCTGAAGTTGGGAATTTGGGGGAAGGGAGGTACTGACCCAAGGAGGAAAGAAATCACCATTAGGACGCCCCTCAGCAGGACTGTAAGATGTCCGTGAATATGATCAAAAAAGGATCATGTGCCAGCCTGGGCAACATAGTGAGACCCCATCCCTACAAAAAATTAAAAAATTAGCCAGGTGTGATGGTGCACACTTGTAGTGTCAGCTACTCGGGAGGCTGAGATGGGAGGGTACAGTGAGCTATGTTCTTGCCAGCCTGGGTGACAGAGTGAGACCCTGTCTCAAAAAAAAAAAAAAAAAAAAAAAAAAAGGATTATATGTGGTCAGAGTGGACCTTAAGGTAAACATCAGTTATCTTGGCACAACATCCTTCCCTTAGGGTAATGCAGGCCAGGAAGCTCCCTTTTCTGGGTTTCAGAACAATTTCAGGAAGGTCCAGGTAGTCAAAGTCTTGGGCAATAAGATAGGGAAGGGCTGAGGGTGGGATGGGAGGAGATTGGGACTTATAGGGCACCAGGTATGTGGGTAGTTTCCCATTTTTACCCAAGGAGGGCCCCCAAGATGAGGTTTCTAGGTTCCCTTCTGAGAGCTGAGGACACCTGCAGGATTCTGATCTGAGTCCTGATCTCAGGGGGCCAAGGCCAAGCTTTGACTTCTGCCCTCTGCCCAGATACCTGCAGCGTGCTGAGGGGACCCCAAGAACCATAACCTGACATCCCTAGGAGTCTGGGATCAGGTATAGTTCTAGTGACAAGAAGAGGGAAAGAAAGGACCTAATGTACCCACCCCCCATTTCCTGCTGTCCCATCCTGTTCCCCCAGGACCCTTCTCACTCCCCTGACTCTCACCTCCTCTCTGCAATGATGTGAGGAGGTGAGGTCACAGTTTTTAAATATTCTGACTTCATTAACCCTGTGAGTACTGCCACACTTAGCCAGATTCTTCCCAGTCCCCTCCTGGCTGCCCCTGCCTGCTGCACTTCCCACTGCCACTCATTCGTATGGCAGTAGCAGGAACAACCAGGACCTACCCAAGAAGCTCTCTGAGAAGCCTGCAAACACACACACACACACACACACACACACACACACTTGCAAGCACAAACACACACACACAGGCACACATGTGCAAGCACACACATGTTCATGTTCCACACACTCCAGGCCCCTGAAACTCAGGCTCTCAGCACCCCTCAGTCCCAATCCAGAGGCATCCATTCTTTATTTGCCCTCAGGTGGCCTCATGCCTGGCTTCCCTGGGGACTGCTCCCTCCTGAGCACCTCATTCCCCCAAAATCCTGCCTTCAAACAGAAAGGCAGCTGAGGTCCTTTCTCTCTTGGGATTACTCGAAACAAAAATCTCCAGGGGAGGAATCCAGAGACTTGGATTCCAGTCCCAGGTTGGACTCTAGCAGTGGGGTCTTGGGCAAATCCCTTCCACACCTATGAAATGAAGGGATTTATCAAAGCCAGTGGCTCCTAAACTAGGCAGGGCATCAGAACCACCAGGGAGATATTTCCAAATACACCCGCTTGGCCTCATCTCACACCTTCTGAGTCAGCCTCTCTCTAGAGAAAGTATGTTTTGGAAAACATGCCCTGGGTAATTCTGATGCAGAACCAGGTTGGGGGCCATTGATTCAAGAGATTTCCAAGGACATTCAGACTCTTTTCCTCATTCCCACCCATCCTGGCAGGTCCAGTGAGGACCCTGTGGTTCTGGTTTGAGGAGGATTTCCAAAGGCTGCTGAACTCTGTCTTCAGCCCCTCACCTATGCTTCTGTTCTGCTCACAGTACGCTCCAGCTAGCAGTAACAACCCAAACTCCATCTGAATAAGCTTCCTGGTCAGGGAAAACTCCAGACCCTGTCTCCCCAAAGAGCTAAGGGGTGAGGCAGGCCCACCCCTCTTTCCCAGCCAAAAGCCCCCACGCCTTGTCTGGCCACAGAAGCCTTGAGGAGGTGTCTCCTCCTCTAATCCCTGGAGCAGACAGAGATGAGGGAAGGTTAATTTCCATCTGTCACTGTCAGGCAGCTGGGACTGACTGTGACAGAGTGGAGAGCCAGGAGACCAGGGATGGGGGGAGGGATGGCAGAGCAGGAAGCCCTGCCCCAGGCCAGGACCAGTGGGTGGCCCAGCCTGATCCCTGGCTCCTGCAAAGGACTTCAGAAGGCATCATATCCAATGCCTGTGGAGGAACCAAGACCCCTAGAGGAAACAGGGTTTGTTCAGGCCCTTTGGTCCCTGGGTCAGTGCCGTCCCCAAGGCCACCCTGGCTGGACAAGACAGAGGGCCAAGCCTGCCCTGCAGAGGCTGTGGCCCTCATGTGCCTCACCATCCTTGCGGTAGTAGAGGATGTCCACCTTGCACTCCTCAGCCCCCAGCAGGGCCTGCGCCAGGCGGGACACGGCGCTCCTCGGCGTGTTGGGACCTGTGAGGAAGTCGCAGGTGCAGGGTTGCTGCATCACCTCCACTCGGGAGTAGCCGAAGAGTTCGCAGAAGCCGTCATTGCAGTAAATGATGGCGCAGTTCTCCATCTGAGCATTGGCGATCAGGAACTTACGACCTGGGGTGGGAGGTGGGAGGTGGGAGGTGGGAGGCCAAAAGTCCGTGGGAGCCAGGATCGGGAGGCAGGGAAGGAAAGATTGTAAGGACTCTTGGTGGCAGTGAGGGGAATTTAGGTGGAGGAGCAGGCCAGTGACCAGAAGGAGGGAGGGAGTCAGGCCTGGAGATTGTGGGAAGACTAGGACAGTGAGGGTCATGAGGTAGAAGGAAGGCTCAAGGCTCCCTGGAAACAGGAAGGGTGTCTGGAAGGGAGGCAGGAATGTGACCAGTTGGGGGTCAGGCCTGGGAAAGCTCCCGGGAACACCAGAGCCAGGATATGAAAAGGAAGGACTCAAGGAATCCTCTGGAGGACACGGGTGGGGCGGGCAGCGGCCGCAATGGGAGGTTCAGGCTTGGGGCACTGAGGAAAGAGCTGGGGGTGGGGAGAGAAGGGCTGCACGCTGCTCCTTGTGTTCCAGAAAAGAGGACGGCATTTGAGGGGAGTGGGTCCCGCTGGAGGAGAAGGTGTTGGGGACATCAAAGGAAGGATTTTGCATTCAGCACTCCGCACTCACCACCTTGCCCCGTTAGAAGTTAGTAAAGGGATCCGGCCCCGCTTTCACAGAACCAGGACTCCAGATCGTCCCCCCGCCCCAACATATACACACTCACTCTGGCCCTCAAACTTGCGGATGATGGTGTCCAGGTAAGTGTTTTGGGGAGCGACGTGGCCCCTGCGGACTGGCATCTTTCGGCCGCGGCCCCTGCCCGGAGCCACAGGCGCCCCGGCTCCCGGCGTCTCCGCCTGTCCTCGGGCTCAGCAGCGTCCGGCTCCGGTGGGCGCCGCCCCCGGCGAGGGCAGCTGGGCTCCGCGCCCCGCCCGCCTGCCCGCCTGCCTGCGTCTGCCCTCTCCTCCCCTCCCTTCTCCACCCCTGCCCTACCTCTCCTCTCCTTTCCTGCGCTCCCCTGCCCTCCCCTCCCCTCCCTGGCCGGCGCCCTCCGCGCCTGCTCCCTTCAGCGCAGGGCCGGGAGCTGTCCACGCCGTGGTGCTGAAAGAAGCCGCGTGCCGGCGTTGGGGCGGGGGCCGCTGGGCGGGGCAGTTTCTTTGGGACCCGACGGGGCTGGGGCGGGGCCTTGCATCCTACGGGGCGGGGTGGGGCAGGGCCGAGGCCCTGGAATAGGGCAGGTGTTCTCTGAGGAGCTGCTTCTGTTTGTGTCCCAAGGACCAGTAGCCTCAGCACCTCTCGATCCCATCCCAGTACCAAAGGGCAGTCTCCCCTCCCAGTGCAGGGAGTCCCCCAGGCAGGAGAGGGGGCCGCAGAAGGGATTGTTAGGGGCCTCAGGTGGTCTTTGGCTGAAGGCTCTCTTCCGGGTCTGACCACTGAGCCAGACCCTAGCAATGATACCATTAGGCCTCTGGCCTGCTCTTATAGCAAGTTACTTCCAGCTCAGCTGAGACCCAGGTCCCATGCAGAGCTCCTGCTGCCAAGCCCAGCCAGGGCCTAGTCCTGGGAGGAGCGGGTAGGAGTACACATGAAGATGTGCAAGAAATATGCAATAAGGGCCAGGTGCAGTGGCTCACACCTGTAATCCCAGCACTTTGGGAGGCAGAGGCAGGCCGATCACCTGAGGTCAGGAGTTTCAGACCAGCCTGGCCGACATGGCAAAACCCTGTCTCTACTAAAAATGCAAAAATTAGCTGGTGTGATGGCATGCAAGCCTGTAATCCTAGCTACTTGGGAGGCTAAGGTAGGGGAATTGCTTGAACTGACAAGGCAGAGGTTGCGGTGAGCCAAGATCATGCCACTGCACTCTAGCCTAGGCAACAGAGTGAGACTCTATCTCAAACAAACAAACAAACAAAAAGAAACGAAGAAAGAAAGAAGAAAGAAAGGTGGATGGATGCAATAAGTGCCTTCTTCAGAGGCCTAAGAGCTCTTAGCATACAGGTACATCTTGGAAGGAGAACAGATTTAAAACCACCTCTTAGCAAGTGACCACTGATAAAAGTGTCTGAGAACTCATTGAAAATGAACACACTAGACAAAGCAGATGGGGGTGGGATAAGGTTTATTGAAAGAGGCTTCCTGGAGAGGAAAAGGAGAAGGTGACCACTGTTCACTGAGCATCTGGGTGGGCTTGTCATGCTGCAGAGGGTTTGGTGAGCAATTTTGAGCCTGATCTTGGAGGGCAAGCATTCAAATGGAGCATGCACCTTAGGCAAAGGCCAAAGATGATGTCAGTGCAGAGGGGCTGGGGCAGGGGGACAAGGGGCTGTGGGAGAGGTGAGTTTGGAGGAAAGTGGTAATGAATAAAGACCCTCAAATGCCATTTTGAACATCTAGATTTAATTGATGAACAACCAAGTTCTTAAGGAATTAGACATGAAGGAAATATTCTGGTGATATAAACTTTACAATGGCGGATGGAGGAGGATAGACAAGGAGGCTCAGCGAGGTTTTTGCTGGAGTTCAGGTGAGAGGCTTGGAGTCCTGGGTGGGATGTGCCTTTGTCATGCAGAGCCACAGTGCCTAATGGGGGCCTCTTTGGCCACTGTGGCTGGGGGATGGAAGGGGGCAGAGATGTCCTGACTGCCCCTTTGTTGGACAGGCTGGCTGTGGAGGAAAAGAAGGGGCTATTTCCCATGAGCTCAGTGCATGGGATGCTGAGCTCTGAGGAGGGACTTGGGCAGTGGGACATTCATTCATTAGCTTATTCCATCATTTTCCAAGTCCCCTTTGTGCACCATGGCCTGTGCTGACTAGAATTGTTACACAGGGGCACACTCCTGATGTGCATCCAACTCTTATAGAGCTGATAGCTAGTAATAGGGACAAACAAGGACATTATAGCACAGAAAAGTAAGAGCAGGGACAGAGTCATCAAACGAGGGTGCTGTAGAGCCTGGGGCTGGAGCAAGTGCTTGGGCTCAGCCAGATCTCAGGAAGACCTCTTGAAACCTGGACAGAGGTAGAGTCCATGGAGATCTCAGCCTAGTATCGCTGTCCCCTGAACATGTGACTTTGGGGCTCAGACTTTTTTTTTTTTGAGACAGAGTCATGCTTTGTCACCCAGCCTGGAATGCAGTGGCGCGATCTCAGCTCACTGCAACCTCTGCCTCCTGGGTTCAAGCACATCTGCCTCAGCCTCCTGCATAGCTGGGATTATAGACACGCATCACCATGCCCAGCTAATTTTTGTGTTTTTAGTAGAGACAGGGTTTCACCATGTTGGCCAGGCTGGTCTTGAACTCCTGACCTTGTGATCTGCCTGCCTCAGCCTCCCAAAATGCTGGGATTACAGGTATAAGCCACTGCACCCAGCAGCCCCTAAGAACATAGGGGCTCATGTTCTTAATTCAGAGAGAGTTGTTATCCTCTTTTGGCCACCTCCCACCAGCTCAGTTGCAGCCCAGGTACCCCTTCTCTGTAGTTACTGGCTATAATGCCTTTTCTCCTCAAGTCTCCTCTATTCTCTAACAGACACTGACTCCCTGCTTCCCCAGGAGCCCATGGAACCTCCATCCAGACTCTTTGAATCCCCAAATACTGGATGTAGCATCCTCGTGGCAGGCAGTCCCAGAATGAACTAGGAGAGGCAGAGGCAGAGGCCTTCTTGTTCTTTCCCCGGGCTTGTTTCTAGAGCACTAATTTCCCAAATAGTCTCCCACAGTTCTCTCCTTCCTGTCCTCCCCATCCCCCATTGAGCCTGAAAAGGTGCTGTTTGCTCTGTGCTTGCTCCCCAGGGCAACGGGCCAGGCAGCAGGTGTGTGTGTGTTGAACAAGGCCATCTCCAGAGCAGAGTAGCTGGAGATGAGCTTTGTTTAAATATTAAAGAAGTCAATCATTAATCAAGCCTGGCTCAGTGCCCAGCAACCCACTGTCTCCATTTGCAAGGGCTTGGGCTGGGGCAGGAAGAGCCATGGGGCAGTTTATGAGGCTACTTGCATCTCGACTGGTCAACAAAGAGCTTTTGGGGGCTAGATTATGTAGCCTGACACAGGGCTGGCCTGAGGATTAGCAGAAAGATGTGCTGGTCAGTGTAAAAGCACAGTGCTCATAAACTAGGCACTGGTGATTCATAAAGGAATGTCCTGTTCTACTTGAGTACATTTTATAAGTGGGCTGAAGCAGAGTCCTTTTTCTTTTCTTTTTTCCTTTTTTTTTTTTTTTTTTTGAGATGGAGTTTCACTCTTGTTACCCAGGCTGGAGTGCAATGGCGCGATCTCGGCTCACCGCAACCTCTGCCTCCTGGGTTCGGGCAATTCTCCTGCCTCAGCTTCCTGAGTAGCTGGGATTACAGGCATGCACCACCATGCCCAGCTAATTTTTTGTATTTTTAGTAGAGACAGGGTTTCACCATGTTGACCAGGATAGTCTCAATCTCTTGACCTCGTGATCCACCCACCTCGGCCTCCCAAAGTGCTGGCAGAGTCCTTTTTCTAACCAGAGCAGAGACTCCTTGGGCACTGCAGCCCTATAGCCAGGCTACTGAAGAAAACAAGGCTGTGTGCAGAACCAGTTCTGGGTATGACTTGGTGGCGGGCTGGTTTATAGGGACACAGCCACTGGGTCAATAAAACTATAGGTCCTGAACCCCCTGAGGAAGGAGGTTGGCCTGAAACCCAGGACACACATAAAATCACATAGAGCCAGTTGTTCGTGCACATGGCCTCCAATACATGAGTTTTCAAACACTCAATTACAATGTCACATGTACCCAGATCTGCCATGGCTGAACCCAATTATAATTGGGCAATATGCATGCAGGCTGTCCCCTCATCTGCCTCCCAACTCTCTCTGGCTCAGCCTCCTCCTCCTGCCCTCCAGCCTCACCAGTCTCACTGGTGTCTAGTCCCAGCTCCACCATTCAGCTCTTATCCATGGAGGCTGCCTGCTGTGCTGTGAAAATCCAGATGGCCAGGCTGATTGAGCACAGCATCAGAACAAGGCAGAGGCCCAGCAGCATCCACTGTCTTTTAGCAGCCTGGCGGGGCTCCATGGCTATGCCCAGGAAGTAGGCGTTGGGCAGTGAGCTGAAGATCTCAATGTCTTGGACCAGTGACTGTTTTTCCAGGAAGGGCACCCTGTAGGCCAGCCACAGCACCACCAGGGACATGACAAAGCTCAGGACCAGCAGCACCCAGTACCCAAGTTTAGCCTTGTTGACGTCCAGCTTCAGACTCAGAAATGTCACTTTTTCTGTGTCTTTTTCTGTGGAAGACATGGGAGTCTTATAGGGCAGGTGGAACTGGAGAGGGAGCTCTGGGGTCCCCTGTGACTGTCAGAGGAGATGTGATTGCCACTGGCCCTCTCCCTCAGCCTCAGGCACCTACCTTCCAAGCCATAGGTGAGGGCATGGCCCTGGAAGGAGGGTGAGAGAGAAAAGTAGAAGGGAGAGGAGGAAGAGATGGGCATGGCTTGGACTACATGACCCTGCATGTAAGGGACCAGAGGCAAGATGCCGACCCTTTGCTCAGATGCCAGCCTGGCAGCCTAGCTGGACAGTGTGCAACTGATCCAGGGGTGGGGGCATGGGCAGTGGTCTTGGCCGAAGCTGCATCAGGCCTGGTACAGACAGGGTCACACAGCAGCAGTGCTGTGCTGGGGCAAGCCAGGTCATGAATGAGTCAGAGGTTAAGGCTGGGTAGGGGTAGGTGCTAGGACAGGGCAGGTTAAGGTGGGGCCTGGGGCTGGCCCGGAGCTAGGACCAGGGTAAGATGATCAAACCTTCAAAGGAACAGCTGAAGTCTGGCCAGCCTAGGATGTCCCCTTGCTGTACATTCTCAGTCACCAGCCAGTTCAAACCCCAGTAGGGGTTTGAAGTAGGTTA